TAATATAAATTCATTTATAAATACCTTTGGTTTACTTATTTGAGTATCAACGAAAAGGGGTGTCATAGTATTGTTCACTCGCCATGATGTGTCGATATTATCATAATTATCATCAAATTTAGATTGAGGCAACGGCTGATCAAATAGAGGTTTTTTATAGTTTATACTTTTCTTTGATCCCTCAAGTAATAAAAAGCATGAATATTGTAAAAAGAGCGTCTCAATCTCGGAGCAATACAAACTCCTAGAAATCCAAAAAAACCGATTAAATTTGTTTAACTATATCAATTTTTTAAATTGTGTTCATAAGGACGACGGAAGGTTCGCAATATCAGAAACTTCGAAGACTGCATTTTCCAACATATTCAGGAACTCAGAAAGATTATTATAAAAATTTGGCTTATACAAAGAAAAAAAGAAATGAAATATTTAATTCTATGAAACCTGAAACTGTTTCTAAACAAGTTTCTATGTTGCGTCAATATAGAGTTGGTTCGTTTTATATTTCATTTTATATAATTTCGGAAAAATATACTTTTTATTAATTTAATTAATTATTATTTTTTTTACAGGAGAACTTCCTGATATTGAAATTAAATGTAGTGACATTATTGGCCCATTACAAGCATTGGCTCATAGAGACTTGGATATTTCTCGAATTTTATTTTCCACATTATTTGTTTCCATTTATGATATTACTGGTGACAATACAATCATGGTATATAAAAAATATTATTGATTTTTCAAGTCAATATGGAAATATTTTTAAAAATAATATTTATTAATACTATATTAATTTTACTCTTAGGACGTTAATAAACAAAATTCTTATACAAATTCGATGTCTCAACATATCCAATCAATTTTCAACGCAACAACATCATATTTTCCACCTTTAATTAGCAGTTGTCTAAGAATATGTTACGAAATCCCAGATATAAAATTAGACCCATTGTCCATACGGAAAGCCAGTGAAATTAGTTCTACAGAATCAATGGGTATAAGATTAATTGAGCAATATTTGATACAGATTCCTAAACAAAGAGGTTAGCATAATTTCTTGCATCCAACTTTCATAGTTTTACAACTTAACGAGTTTAACCTTGATTATAGAGTCAAAAAGAAAACGTACTTCAAACACTGGCCTAGTCGCCGAGAGTAAGCAACCATGGATTGAGTTAGCACATCTTTATAAATCGATTGATAGTAATGATGTTTATAAGAGCATTCATGAAAATTATATTGCTCACAATCAATATACCAAAGGTAAGTATATTTGGATATTTTGTTTTTACAAAATATTTTTCTTATATCTTTTTTTTTTTTTTTTTTTTTGAATAGATGCTCTTAATGCTGAATTAATAGGCGATTACGCTTCAGCTTGTCAATTCTATTTGCAAGCATTAAGCACTGTCGAAGATGCTGATGATGCTGAAGTTTGTATTTAAAAAATTATCAATATAATAATTTTATGATTTTCTTATGTTTGTGCGTGTTTTCTTTACAGATTACTGTTTGGGAAGAAGGCAGATTTGAATGTTTTGAAAAATTATCAAAATGGGATGACTTGGCCGAAACAGTGTGTGTCGATATAGATAATGATTTAGATAAGCTTTGGGACCAAGATTATCAGGTGCATAAATTATAAAGTATTTGCTTGATTTATGAAATATAGATAATTAACTATGTAATTATTTAGTACCCGTATCTTCAATACTTTATGCATAGTTTGTTCAAACTAGCGCATGGTGATAATGATGTTATCCATCGTGACATGTTTTTTGATTTCGTTGATCGTGCCTTGTCTGATTCAGAACGTAAATCTTTCTTAACTGCACAATATCCGATTGGTAGGTGTTAACATTACTTATTTACTGAAATGATTTCTGTTCAATACTTGTTATTGATTTGTTATTGTTGTTTAGAGCTCGCGTTAACATGTATAGCACGTGGTGATACAGAGCAAGCATTTTATTACATTAGAAAGGCGTATGATAGTTTCTTGTTTGCCTGGTCTACTTTACATCCGTTGGCATCTAGCACAAGACTAAGTAAATTGACTTCACTACAAGAGGTATGAATCATTCCTCGTTTCGCGGTAGGAACATTAGAAAAATATCTAATTCAGTTTAATTACTAAAAGGTTGTTGAAATGGAAGAGTATTTGAATTTTTCTCAATCATCCGAGAAATCAGAAATATATGAAAAACTTATTAGTCAATGGAAAAATAGGTATTCAATTATCGATTTATTAGATTTATTAAAATAATTTCATATAATGAAGGTATTTATTTTAAATAGGTATCCTTCAAAACGGCTAGACCCTAGCAATAGTTGGGATGACATTATAACAAATCGCCACTCACTTCTTGACGCTATGAACAAATTGCTGCAAGGAGACAAGCACGTATGTGAAGTTTTTTTTTTGCATTTATTTTTGTATTAGTGCTTTCATTTATAAGTTATTATTTGCATAGTTCATTGATATTAAGAGCTCACTAGAGCGAGATGGCTTACTTAAAATGGCTTCAGCAGCAAGAGTTCAAGGCAATTTTGAAGTTGCCCGTGTTTGTCTCAACAAAACAAGGCAATTTAAACTTGATGATCAAAATGAATTGACTTATTATCAGTTGAAGCTCAATCTTCAAGAGGCTTTGACCACCGTTAGTGTTAAAAATAAACTAAATATATTACTGGCGATGACTGATGAGTTTAAAAAAGTTCAGGTATTGAATTGATTTTCCATTTACAGTAATTAATTTATCAAATTGTTTGGTTTTAATGTTCATTAAATATGTATTTAGATATCGGATATAGAAACAAATATAAAAAATCATGTTACAGAAAGTGAAACATATATTACATTGGCAGCTATTCTTGATAATGAAGAAAATTGGGATATATCGCGTTCTATTCAAAATAATAAAACAAGGTTTATGCATGATGGTTATAATCTTTTAAAAGGAGCGGCTGCACAAGCTGCTTTACACCTCAGGGTATGAGAGATTCTTAAGCTTTTTACAAATTATATATTTATTGGTTTACTTTATTTTTTTTTCCTATTTCTATTTATTTTAGCCTTTGAAACGAGCAAAAATTTATGTTAAATTTGCAAAATTCTGTGATTATTACTTACGGAATTTGGAATCAGCCGATGAGAATCAAAAAACGGTAGGTCTATAATATATATTTTCTTCTTTATATTTATATTTCTTTCTTTTAACATTATTCAAATACATATAGATTTCTTTTGATAGTGGCTCGTTTGCCTCTACAGTTGTTCAATATGTTTTAAGGGCAATGGAAATTTGTTCAAAGGAAGCATCGGAATTATTTCCTAGATTGCTTCAGATAATTAGTATATACGATAATACACAATCAACTTTTAAACAAATGGTATCTATTAATGAATTTATAAAAGATAGGTTTTATGGCAATTAAATTAATTTACAATATATTTTATAGGTATCATCATTTGGCCCTGTGTGGAAATTTATCCGTTGGATTCCTCAAATTGTTGCCATATTGGACAAACCCATTGCAGAATGTGTTTTTCCAATATTGCTTAATGTAAATTTCTAATATATTTTTCTTATCAAATTGTTTGAAACATTAATTAATTATTATTATTTTTCGTTATGTAAACAGCTTGCAGAGCAATACCCAAAAAGTCTATACTATCCATTAAAAATTAGTAGCGAACATTACAATTTTGACGAAAAATCTGAAGAGTCAGAGATTAGCAAGTCAAGAGTTCAAAAACTTAAGCAAATAATAAAGTGCGAAATGACTGATACTCTTATTGCAGAGTTACAAAGGCTTGTTGATTCAGAAATTCATTTTGAAAATTGGATTAAATCAATTTATGTAGGATTTAAGAATATAATTTATAAAATAATAATCAAATCTTTAATTTAAAATAATTTATAATTTTTTTTTTTTCTCTTATAAAAGTCTTTAATCAAATTAAAGACTAAAGAAACTGATCAGTATGAAGAAATTAAAGAGTCTTTTCAAAGAATGAAGTCTTTTCTTTTGGATGCTCAGAATACTCGTTTTGGGAATTTTGATATCCTTTAATATTTTTAAAATATTGGTAATTCTATTGAAGCTGAATTGACCTTAATCCTTAACTTTTTCTTACCTAAGCAATTTGCAAACCGGCATGCAAATAACTTGTTTAGCATCTGCGGTAATTTAAAGTTCATGACTAATTTATTGATACTGAATTATGGGTTGTTAGCTAATATCTTTGACTTTCAGGGATTGACGGGTCTAAATTAGCAAGATTTAATCAAATAGAATTCCGAGCAAAAGTTTGGGATTATTACATTAAAAATATAAAGCGTGGTGGTGACAAGAAACCATCGTCTGTTGCAAATTTACTTAAATCGTATTCTCAATGGCTTGCCGATTTTTCATCTTCAAATTATGACGAAGTATTATATATTTTTTATATAAAAAACATACTTTGTATTTAAATATTTAATCTCTGTTTTTTTTTTTTTTTTTAATTCAGGAAATTGAAATACCCGGTCAATATGATGGATTAGGCATTCCAGATCCTAGTCGACATGTAAAAATCGCCTATTTTGATCAAAAAGTTTTGATTCTAATGTCTTTAAGGAAGCCCAAAAAAATTACTATAGTGGGTACAGATGGCAAAGAATACCCTTTCCTTGTAAAAGTAGGTTTCATGCAACTGTTTTAAGCTTTTGGTTTTATAAAAATATTTACTAAATAACATTAATAGGGAGGAGAAGATTTACGATTAGATCAAAGAGTTCAGCAATTATTCACAGTTATGAATGAGCTAATGCGCAAGGATTATTTCTGTTCTCAGCGTAAAATTGAATTAATTACATATAAGGTTTGATTATATTAAATCTTATAATTTGTAATGTATTTCGCCGTCTTATTATGAAATTAACGAAATTAACGATAATTATAACCTACACATTAAGATTGTTCCTATCACTGGTAGTTTAGGTATAATTGAATGGATAAATCATACTAAACCACTACGGTCATTTATTGAGAAAGAACTTTCTAATGTTTCATCCATTGGAAATTCTCAACAAGAGCATGATACTTGGGTGAATGAACATAAAGGTAAATACACGAATGTCAAAATGAATTATGTATATATATATAATTATTGTTTATGTTTGTATTTATGTTTTCGTTTAGGGTATCCTAATGTCATGGCACTTTCCCGTGATGAGATTATTCAGCACCTGGCAACTTTACATAGCATGGTTGATAGAAACCTTTTAAAAACAGCATTATATAAGCTTGCCGCATCTCCTGAAGTTCATTTAGCAATTCGTAATGAATTTGTTAAAAATCTAGCCGCAATTAATATCTGTGGTTACTTAATTGGTTGGTTTAGAACTTTCTATTACGTCAACGTATTTTATATTATATAAACTGAGACAACTTTATTTTAATTCAGGAATTGGTGATCGTCACTTGGAAAATTATCTGATTGATCTTACCAAGTAATCTATTAAACTTTAAAAAATTTATTGTACAAATTGATTCTAAATATTATATATATATATTTGTTTAGAGGATCATTAATTTCCATTGATTTCGGTCATGCTTTTGGCTCAGCAACTGAGACACTTGGAGTTCCAGAATTGATACCATTCCGACTTACTAAGCAATTTGAAAGTCTAATGGAGCCACTTGGTTCGCAAGGTTTATTAGAATATCCAATGACAAAAATAATGCAAAGTAAGTCTAGCATAAATTATAATATTATTTATTGAGATCCTATTTATTTATAATTTTAAATTTTATGTATAAAAAAATGATTTTAGCTATGCAAGCACACAAAGATATATTACTTAATGCGATGGAAATTTTTGTTAAAGAGCCATTATTGGATTGGCAAACCAGAGCAAGAAGTCAAGCACGGCAACAAAGTAAAATTTTAAATATTATTATATATACGTAAACTTCTCAAACATACTTTACCTGACATAATAATATAAACTCACACTTTAGAAAACGAAGGAAGTAATGAAATTGATGAAAGTTCTCAATCATCAGAATGGTATCCACGCCATAAATTAGATATTGCTAGACGCAAACTCGAGGGCGAAAACCCTGCTTGTAAGTGTTTTTAAAAACAGTAAATTGTTACTATTTTAAATTCTTAATTTATCATATATTTTATTAAACAGATCTTGTTTGCGAAGAGTTAGTATTTGGACATTCGAAGAAAGGATTTATTAACAGCATTCAAAAAATTGCTAAGGGAGATTCTGAACATAATATTAGAGCTTGTGTACCTCAAAAATGTAGTAACGTAAAAGAACAAGTTGAATGTTTGATTGATTTGGCAACTGATCCTGTGGTTCTCGGTATTATGTGGGTCGGATGGATAAGTTGGTTGTAATTATGAGAAATTATTAGGTTAACTAATATGAACAATATTTTAATAAACCATACTCGGGAGTTATTAAACTAAAGTTGTTCAAAATTATATTTACATATTTCAATTAAGGATTTTACGAAGTTTTTCTTGAAACTTTTTTATCAAAAAATTTATAACTAGTACAATATCTAACTACTCAATTAGTAGTACTAGTAACATAGATGCTACTAGTACAACATAAGGATTTTTAAGAAAATAAGACTTAATTTGAAAATAATTGCCGAACTTAAAGTCATTTATATGTACCGGTTGTCGTTGCAATTATAAATTATATTCTATTAAATTGTTAAAGTTTTATTAATCAAGGAAATATTGGATAATATGGTTTTAATTATAATAAACAAATTAATCATGAATATAATTAATGGTGCTGTAATGCAGTAATGAGAATACTCAATTGATGAAGACAATGATTATACAATATGAATAGCTATGCAAGTAATCTATAAAGCTACTAAGATAATCAGAAATATTACGGGCATAGGAACTGTGGGATATAGAAGATATTTCACGGTGTGTCATGAACACATGTATTACAACGGCTAATCCATCATATTCACAACAGCCCGTGAAATATCTATTATATATTGAAACAAAATTTCAAATTATAAATTGTACAATGCTCCCTAAAAAAGGGTTTAAAAAAAAAATTGTAAATTGTTCTAATTAAATATGTATTTGGTTTTGCTTATATAAATATGAATTTTCTAATTTTAAATTAGACTAGTAAAACAAGAAATTTTATTTAATATTAATAATTGTATAATCATTTAGCCTTCAATTCATCTATTTCTTTTTGCAATTTATCTATTAATTCCTTCATCTCCTTGATATTTTTTTCATCTTGATTCTTGTCTTATTCTAATCTCTAACACGTCACGCAGTGCTTCTTGAATATTGCAAGCCAGAAGATTATCAGGAATTTGATTGGTATAGTAAGAAAGATTTCTTGCCGAAGATAGAATTAATATAAACACACATGTTTTGACAAAGAAAATTAATTGGCCATTTTAACAAGATAAATATTGTCTATAAAATATTCGGTGCATAAAATGAGATAAGCATAGTAGAAAAAATTATGTCAATTTGTTCATTATCACGATATCTCTTACTATTATCGACCACTAATGCGGGCTAATCTGTCGGGATTTTGGCCTTTTCGGGATTCTGTTTGTCGGGATTTTGACCGACTCCCTCGACTATTAACCACAATATAATAAATAAACCCACTAAAACTAAAAAAGATGCAAATAATGATCAATTACCTGGCCTAAGTTAGGGTTAGTGTTAGGGTTAGGTGATATTTTAGTTTAGGTGGCAGATTATTAGTACTGATCAGGGATCCGGAAAAATTTGGATCCAAATTTTTCCAAATTATTCCAAATTTTTGGGGATGCATGTAATCTGACCAATAAAAATTGGACAGAATACATGTGATCTGACCAATAAAAATGCGTTTGTAGTATGTTATATAAATTATTCGATTTAATTTGGATCTTCCTTTGAATATCTGATCTGTTGTAAACGGCAAATCTGCCCCGGAGTTACCGCAGTCAAATGTGGTACTATTCCCGATTTCTGTTTTTTCTGTTTTTGTCGATTATCACTATTTTCCTTATTTAGGATATCGTGCCGATTTTTAAAATAATATCGATCTACAAAATAGACTAAAACAGTATTATTAGTATCATTAACAAAATAACATTAAACGAACAATTCGATAGTATTTTGTTAATAAGAACAATATAGTATTTTTATTTTATTTTATTTTTTTTTAACCTGTTTTTTTTCATATGTAAATTTATCTATAAAAGTAACGAAAGTTGCCCTCAATAAAAAATATCTTTGGAGAGTTAAAAGTTTTCAAGTTCAGAAAACTTTGGCAGAGTTCAATCAAGACTCTAATAAGTTCGTTGTTTATAAGTCTAATACTTCAAAATTTGAGCAGAAGTATTATGTTCTTATTTCCTCATTGTTAAACCATTGTTATTGATAAATCATGCTCTTATGATATATTAGTATAAGGTCAAATCATAAATCAATTACCTCTTAGAGTTTTATTGATAAATTCTACATTATTGTTAATTATTTAGAAAATAAATCAGGTTATTTATCACATGATAAGAATCAAAAATATAAGAACTAACAGAAACAGTTAGAATCAAAAGACAAGAAGCACAAGAAACACTTATCTCTAAACTAAGACAATTCACAAAATTTCTAAAATCTAAACTAAATCTTTTATATTCTCTTTTAGCTTTTTATTTAGAGTTGATTGTTAAGATTAATAGTATTATTGAGTTATAGTTATTAGACCTGAACACTAGTATAACTAAACCTCTAATCAAGTTTTATACTAGAATTAGTTCATACCTTTTCAATATTGTGAAAGGTTTCAGAATATCAACTAAACTATTTTTTTTTTTTTTTATATATTATTACTTTTTTTCAATTTGTATTTAGTATTATTTTTGTTTTTAGTTAGTTATCATATCTTATTTAGTAAAACTTGAAGGCTAGAATAGTTTAGAGTAAAGATTATTACATCACAAATTCTCAGAATTCCTGGAATTTCTGCTATTTTCAAAATTTGAGAGAAAATAAGAAAAATAAAAATAACAAAAAAAATAATAAAAACAAAAAAAATTTGAATAACTAGAAAAATAAGAATTCTTGTTAGTCTATTGTAGATAATTAAAGTATATATAAGCAGTACAAATTATCTTGAATAAAGAACAATTTTTAGAGTTTGATAAAGTAAAACCTTTTAAGTCTTAAATAGTCTTGAAAAGAAGTGTTTATTTTAAATAAATTTCTTTTAGTTTTACTAAATCATACTATTGGTATTCAACACTATATCTTGTATAATATATAAAAACAATAAATAAAAAGTAAATAAAAAATAAAATAATTTTATTTACTTTAGAGTTAAGGCTAGAGCTATTATTAGAATTAAACAAAACTTAGTTTATATATAAAATTTTATAAGAAAATTTTTTACTTAAAATCTAAAAGATAGTTTCATAATTAAAATTTTGAATTATTAGTATTTTTTTTTTAAAAAATAAATTTTTATATTATATCTAATCTTTATATTATATTGCAGATTTAAAATTTAATTGGTAAAAATCAGTATAGTATTAAATACCAGTAGTATAATTTAAAAAAACTAATTTTTTTTAAATTATTATAAATTATTTTATTAAATTATTAATCTTTTTATCTTGTTTCTATAATAATTTCATATTGAATTCTGTTTTAAATTATTTTTTTGTTATTACTAAATCTTTTTTGTTAGCATAAAAGTACCTAAATTCTTATATCAAAACTTATTTATATATTCTAAATTAATAAAACAATTGATACTATATTATAATTGTTAAATTAATCTACTAATAACTTTAAAACTTTATAATATCTAAATCATAACTAAATTATTACCAAACTGTGACTTTTAATAAATAAGATCAAGATAATCTATAAACTTAACTTTAAGAATCTAAATATCTACTTATATAATTCTAATATTAGACTAAGTTAATCTTCTTCTCTTTCAAGCCTTATCTAAGCTAAGATTATCTCTTAGTTAGATTTTTAGATTATTTTAATTTATTTGTATAGATTAGTTAAACTTGAACTACTATATAACCAAACTTTTAGATAAGTTTTAATCTAGAACTAATCTATATTTTTTCAATATACTATACCAAGTTTTATAAATAAAAAATGCATAAAAGAGAGAAAATATAGTATTTTTTTAAATACAAATAAATAAATAAATAAATAAATAAAAAATAAATAAAAAATAAATAAAATAAAAAAAAAATAAAATAATAATAATAATAATAATCATAATAATAAAATCAAACAAAAATATTACTACTTCTAGTTATACACAAGAGTTTTTAAAAGATTTTGTTGTAGTTTCTAGAATTTTTATATGCTGTTTATGTAATTGTAAAATTAATTACAATAATAAAGTTTTTGTTATCTTATATATTAGTAGCAATAGCTATATAAAAAATCATAAAGCTTATTTAAAATCTACAAATAAAACTTATTAATAATGTTTTCAATAATTATTAGCTATAGCAGATAAAAAAAAAATTATTTGTAATCTTGTTATAGTATAAATTAAGGCTAATATATTAATAGAAAAGTTTAACAAGTTTCATAGATTTTTAAATATATATTCAAGGAGAGTAGTTTTATTTCTTCTACTAATATTTTATATTAGTTATATTTGCTAAAGATTTTTGATGAATATTTAGAAACTTTAGTTATATATTTAATAACAAACCTATTAATATAATTATTGATAAAATAACAGATATTAGAAGCTATAATGCAGTTAATATATTATTTTCTTATCAAAAAATAACAAAACTTATATTAGTTAATTATTTGTAGCAAGTAAATTACTTTATACTTAGAGATTTATTTTATAGCTTTTAATTGAATAAAATATTTCTTTTTCTCTTTCAAAATTAATTACTACTGATTTAGTTTCCTATATAAAAAAATATTTTTATAAAGCTTTAAGTCCTACTATACAACAATTAAAATATAATATTTATTTTACTCATATTATTAACTTAATTAATATCAAAAATTATATATTATTTTTGAAATTATATAATATTAATAAATCTGTATTTATCAATTTTTTACTCTAATATTATTAAAGTATTAGTTTCAAATATAAAAAAAATATTTGTGTTTACTAAAACTTATAGATTCTGTTATATAAATTGTCTAATATAGTATAAACTAAATTAGTAATTAAACTTTTTACTAAAGTTTATACTATTACTAGTTATAACTTATTGAAATATATAGTTTAAAGTAGTATATTATATTTATGATTATTTAGATTATATTTAAGAACTTTATAATGAGAAGCTTCAAATTAAATTATCTGAAACAATCAAAAAAATTATTAATATTTTTAATAATTATAA